TGGTTAGCAATTCTGTTAATAATTCTTTATATTTGGTTAGTTAAAAGCATATGAAGAAGGGTTGGGTTTTGGCATATGAAAATCTTGGCTATGGGGTATGGTTTTGATATTGGTTTTGGTTTGTAAATTTTGTATGTTAGGTTTGTAATAGATATGAAATATCATGTGTTTGGGGTTATAATTGATGTTATGTATACTAGAAGTTGTGGGGTTGAGTGAGGAAAATTGAGGAAGAAGATGGAATAAAGAAGGGTTTTTGTTAGACTTCTACTGGTAGAAATTGGTGTTCTACAAGTAGAATGACATTTTGTAAGAAGTTCTACCGGTAGGAAGTGGTGTCCTATTGGTAGAATGATATTTTGTAAGAAGTTCTATCAATAGAAACATGAAATTCTCACCATTTTTTCGTAACCTCTGTAATTCATTGTCCACTACTCCTCAAACCTTCTTTAAACATTTTAATGGGTTAAAATCAATCTTAGTTTATTTTATTTACCTTTAAATACATCACTAAAAGTAAGGGTTTGGGTGCATTGTAATAAATGGAAGGGGTAATTGAAATTATCGGGTTAAGCTCGATTAATCATTTATGCGTAGCATAACAATTGTTAGTTGAGAATGTTATTTATGTGATTTGTGATGATATATGTTAGGTATTGAGTCGATGATATCAATGTCAGATTCAACTAAGATTACACAGGGAGACTGAATCTGGAGTTGGAATTAACCTGAGGTGAGTGTATTGATTCATATTGACTGAAAATGTGATTATGTATTTATTAGCTATACGTATGTGAAATAGCTTGAAGATCATTTGATAAGTTATGAACTGTAAAAATGTTATTGTTTGGTACTAACTATATTTATTTGTAAATAGTTACATTGTGAATCAATGGCTTAAGGATTGTGGATTGATGTTGGGTGTGATTTTAAATACTTGAATTGATTATTGGTGCTTAACAATATGTGATTGTTGAGACTACTGGGCAAAAACGGTAGTGATATAATGGCTAAGACTCCCGGGCATATATGGGTAGCGATATGATAGTCGAGACTTTCGGACATATACAAGTAGCTATATAATAGCCGAGATTCTCGAGCATAGACAAGTAGTGACATGAGATTGTCAAGACTCCCAAGTGTTATTGGATAGTCGGATATTGGATATAAGATTTTGAATAGTGGGTGTTAGATATTGAATGTCACTTATTGGAAGATGGTTATTTTCTGTTAAATTATACTTTTAATGTGTATATGAGTTACGATAATAATTGTAATTTTCATATGTGTTTTCTTTGTATATGTTTAAAATATACTCACTGAGCGTATGGTTTTCTCACCCCTCCCCCCCAAAAAAAAAACAATTGTTTGTTTTCAGGTGTACAAATTAAGGGTCCTCTGAGCAATATAGCTTGATGTAGATGTGTTGGTGTCAGATTGTACTTTATTTTAAGAGTCATATTGTAAACATATAGTAAAGATGTTCAAAAGAAATGATGCCCTAGTAACGTTGCCCCAGTAATGTAGTAAAAGTCAGGTTCCTTGTTATGATGGTTGACTTTGGATATTTTTGCACATAATTAGATTACTTTGAGATTAATTATGATTTACGGGATTACCAAGTCAAGGTTCCCCACACCCTAACTCTTTTTTGGGATTGGGTGTGACAGGTGGTGTGTTTAATTTCATCTAAAACTGTAAACATTTACTCATATCATACAAGTATTTGATAATCTGAGCTTCTTTGCATAAGCTGAACTTTACACACTAGATTATCTATAATGTAAAATGAAAGACACACATGTATACATATATTTAATATAATACAAATATTTTATTCACATAGATTCTAATTAAAATAGAAAATGATGAACTTTTATTAAATAATAAACTAAGTTTCATTACAAAAAATAATCTTTTAGTATATAACTCTATCACAAGCATTAGCCAGTAATAAGTCGTTTCATGGTAGTTTCGTCTATCACTTTATTGTGAAAGACTAGATTGATCCGTCCTTTCATAATTACCTCCATATTTCGCTGAGTAGGATTTGACAATGGATTTGTATCAACGACTAGAAAACTTCATTTTCTTGATCTTGATTCGTGTAGAAATCCTGGAACTATGATACTAGTTGAATCAGAGAGACCTGAATTTCCATTGGTATCATAGAATTACTTAGTTTAGGTACCTTGTGATTAGGAACAGTATGAACAAGCAGGAAAAAAACCCTATATGGCTTCTTTGATTTATCAATAAAGAAAAATATGACCAACAATGGTTCAAATGTATATAAAAAGTAACTATCTTACCAATTTTTTCAACATTTAGCTATATTAGGTGGTACACCTAATTATTTATTAGATTAATTTCGATTGAAGTTGAAATTTCTCTCGGACTTCTTGTCAATTGTTGATAACACTTAACTATGATTTATGTAACATTCTTATCATTCTAGCCTTTTCTCTAATCTATCAGAATGGCCTAGCTATCTTATTTATTGAATGATTCTGTTTGGACGCTCCTTGCAAGCTAGTCTTGCTTTTGATTCGGTCATATTGACAGCTTGGCCTATTTGGTCGAACATTGTAACCATTTGCTCGGGTGGTTTTAAGGGAGATTGTAGTTCCTTGTGTGACTCCTACACGTGTTTTTTGTCACATATTTTAGGACAAGCAGCCTCATTAAATGTCTCAATCATGCGCAGTCGATTTATGCCCCTTCAATTGTCACTTTTGTTTTTGATATATGTACATTGGATTGAAGAGTAATAAACTTTGTGTTTCATAGGCCAATATTTTTTTTTTAATAAAACCTCGACAGAACGAGGGTATTGCTTTATTAATTCCTTCAAAAATTACAAGTAGAATTTCTACCAGCTTTTTTTTGAAAGGGGGGGGGGAGGGGGGATTAAAATCTTACTCCTAAATTGAAACCCAAACAACCCTTATGAAAGAATAAAGGAATCAAGAAATAGAAGAATTCTTTTCTCTTAGAGTTCGGACTCTTCTCTGAACTTGCATAAGAAGAAGCTTAGCTGGAGTAGGAAAAGACGTAGACGATGACAAATCCATGGACCTCCTACCTTGGACTTCCCTCTTTGCCATAAAATCTGCCACACGTTTTGCTTCCCTGAATACATGAGAATTTTGAAATCTAATCTAATTAAATATCCTTGAATCAGATTTGAGGTATCCCATAATTGCCAAGAACTTTGATGCTTTTCCAACATCATATTCACCACAACTTGAGAATCGGACTCAATCTGAATTTTATACACATACAAATTCCGTCAAGAGGCAAATTGAAATAGTCAGTTAAGTTTAAGGTCAAAGCGTCTTATTCTTTGGATTTAACATCGGGTTGTAGGTGTATTGCTTTGTGGCAATTGCACTATAATTGTGTTTTGTGTGGCACTTGGTGAATAAAATTTTTTGTGAGTGCTTCAGATGTTTGCTTTGTCATTAAGAATATCTTTTCAAAATTGCAGAAGGAATATTCCTTGCCTTTAACTATGAGCTATTTAAGTATGATTACAATAGGAAATTTGAGAAAAGAGTTCATCAAATTTTAGATAGTTGAATAGTATTCAATGAATTTGTTTTTGTGGGTATTTTTAATATTTTGCCTTTTGTAAGGTCTCATTGCTTTCCTATCATTATCGTAGATAAATTTTGGGGAGGAATTATGTGTTGTATGTCCTTGCTTAGTGGGTTGAGTTTTGGTTATTAGAATGTCTTTTTGTTTTTCTTGAGTTGTGTTATTTTTGGGAGGAATTAAGTGTTGAATTTGTTGTTAAAAAATAATGGACTTAGATTGATTAATGGTTTTTCTCATTTTTTTTAATGTCGATTGTTAATTGCTAGTATATCCAAATTTTTAACTTTTGCATGTTTTAATAAAAAAATTTACGGTTTTTTCACAATAAAAATATTTATAACCTTTTAGGTAAACTACAACTTTTAAGGTTTGAAATACAAATTTTTTGGACCAAGTTATAACTTTTTGTGGTAATTTGTGAGATATAAAAAATGTTGTGATAGTACCTAATGCTATTATGATCAATCACCAGTTATTACAAAAATTATAAAAAGACCCTTTGAAAGTTGTAAAAAGACCCAAAATATGTTTTTTTTTTGTACCATAGAGATTTCTTCAATTTTTGTTGAAAAAGACAAAGCAACCAAGTTGTCAAATCCAAGCTGGACAATAATAACAATTAATTTTGGCAATTTCTCCTCATTCAACAAATATGGCAAATGATGATAAGCCAAAATTTGGCATCTCTTCAAACTCCCATGCCAAATAATATTTTATTGTTGGAATTTAATATTATTGTTGAAGATTTTGTTGTCGTTACCACTATTTTTTAGCCAATGGAATTTTTATGGCCATTGAAATTTTTTACCACCAGTATAAAATTATGTAATGTGCTAGCAAATTTTTTACTCATTTGAAGATAATAAAATTTTATTTTTCCCTTTCTCAATCACACCATTTTCATAATTTTCAACACAACAACAATCACAACTTTCTAGTGAAACACCAGAAATTTCTACCCAAGCATCACATAAAAAAAGGGTTAGTCGAAGTGCAAGATTCAATAAAGAAGATGGGAAATGTGCAACAATTTCAAGTGTTTTGGGAACGAGTTGGGGAAAAATTTATAATATTTTATTTTAATTGACATTGGAATGCAAAGAGAAGATGTGAGATTGTCACACAAACCTTAAAATTTAAATTTGGCATATGATATTTGATATCTCCCTTCGAGATGCTCTTAAAGTAGTTTTGCTTTCAAACGTTAAATTGAAATTTCAAATATGGTCTCAGGTCTCATAAAGTTGAATTTCTCACAGTTTTTATTTTACTGTGGTAACATTGGTTTGAAATTTCAAAATTTCTTTCTGATTTCCGAGGGATAAACGAATTAAGTGGGAGATATATCAATCAAACTTGTGAGAGAGAGGGAGACCCCAAATAAAGACATCGCATAGATAATTGCAATGACTTTGTCATATCACTTCCAATGTCTACGTGCTTCATCCAAAAAAGTTTAAATAAAAAATTGGCCCGTGAAAGAAATTACTAAGATTATAATTGCATAATGTGAAATGAACCAATATTCACACCCGATTAGAAACACTCTGATGCAGTTCATAAAAAAACATGACGATAATGCATTCATCTGCAAACAAACATAATCAAATCACAAATTCCTCCCCTCCCCAAAAAACAAAAAAACAAAAAATAGAAACCCTCCAAAGCCAACCCACAACAAATAAACGAATAATAGAATCTAGTAATTTTTTTTTGTCATTTGGGCCCCAGGCAATGGCAAAGTGCATGGGCCGGTACTGCATATTAACAGCAAAATCACTATACTTCTTAGACTTGGAAAGGCCATGGCCAATCTTTCATGTCCTCCTCTTGTACCTTTGCGCTTCTCTTCATTGCATTAGTACTATCACTTTCAACATAAGCATAGTACTTCAAGAAAAATGCAAGCGTCAGAACCACCCACTCTAAACAAAATATCAGAACACACAACCCACCAGCCAATCTCAGTATCACAACTCCATTTTCTTCCTTCACATAAGACTTCAGATTCTCAAGAAAATCGATGCTTCTCGTGAAAATCAGCACCGAAACAGAGCCTTGAAATATCGCCGTCAGGACGGTGGACACCATGTGAGCTCCGTACCATTTGCCCGCACCCGAGGAGGCCGCGGCACACCCGGAGACTGCTCCGGCGATTGTGAGGATGTGGAGGAGAATTAGAAAGAAGCCGCAGAGGGAGGGGACGAGGCGGAGAGAGAGGGTCAAGAAGATGCAACTGGAGGCTGCGCCTAAGAGAATGTAGTTGCAGAAGAGGAAGACCTTGTGGGTGTGGTAGTGTGATTGAGTGGGGGAGTTTGAATTGTCCATAGAGAAACCCATGTTGCGAATTTGTTGAAATCTGATAGGTGTGACTCAGATTCCGGCGACTGTATCAGATTCAGGCGACTGGCTCTTTGCTTCTGCTGGTTTGCGTCAGATTCCGACCATAAATAATAAATAAATATTAAATATATTAAATATATAAATATAAAGGTGAGAAAGAAGGTTATGCTAGAAATGTTTGAAGAGACTGAGAATGAAGGTGAGAAAGAAGGTTGTTGATTTCAGATATATAGATCGAGTCCAACGGTCATATTTGAGGATTGACTTGATGGAAATATAACCGTTGCAGAAGGTTTACTATAGTGCGTGTAACGTCTATTTTTTAGGATTCTGTTGACGTTCAAAATAAAAGAAAGAGTACACTAACGTCTCGTAAATTTTTTGAAAAGACAACTTGATTTTTTTTTTCTTGCATTCTACATAATTTTGTTCAAGAGAAAAAAAAAAAAGTGAGACAATCACTTCAAAATTCAAATCTATAGCTATATTAATTTAATTTTAATTAATAAAATAAAACATGACCTATTTTGAATCCCTTAACTTAACTTAACTTAACACAAAAGTAATTGAGATCCACTTAATACAATGACTCAAAATCATCATCAAATTTTTTTTCCCAAATCAACCTATACTTTTTCGCACTCATCAAGGTCAAACCCCAAAATTAATATTTTTTATGCTAATCAAAGGCCAAACAAAATATTTTCTCTCCCAATTTTTTTTAAATGACGAGATAAGATTAATTTTGAATTGTGTAAATATAAAAAAAAAATTTGTTATTTCATATATTTATAGTACACGACCAATGTTCGATTTATTAGTGTTACCTAGTATCATTAGGCACAAGTTATTGCTAGATCTCCGATAAATGGTTTTTATATCAGTTCTCAAATAACATGGAGTCTATTCACCATTTTTGTAAAACTTAGGGGATTTTATTAAAGTTTATTCAAAAAAAAAAAAAACACTCCTTTTTTAGGAGGACAAAAAAAAAAAAACAGCTACGTTTTGCACAAATAGCATGTTATCTATCTTGCTTCATCTTGGGGCAGCAAAATGCAAAAATAGCTTCAGTCATTTTTAATAAATTGCAACTTGTCCTTTTGAGGTATCCAAAACCAATTTTACTCTTTTTAATTTGATGGGTAAATTGCTTCATTGATCCCTAAGGTTTATTAGTCATTGTAATTTTGATCCTTAAATTTTTGTTTCATCAATTACACCACAAAATATCGAGTTAATGTAGTTCTTAGCACTAACTATCGTTAAAAAAAAAGAGAGAGACGAAAAATACCATGTGCATGTCACATTTAGTTCTTTGCAACATTTATGATATTTTCCAATAATTTAAGCATCTAAACACAATTATTGTTTACTCCTCAAAGTTGTATTAAATTAGAAGGAATTTTCAAGCGAAGGAAGGGGTATCGTTTGTAACTCGGTCGATTACTGAGATCATCTCCTCAGGGAAAACGGTTGGTTCAAAAGGTGATGAAACAAAAAGAAATAAAAACTTGGAATTTTGAGAGTATTTGAGAGCTGTTTGAAAATTTTAAACACTTAAAGAAAAGAATTAGTTGATCGGTAGTGATCAGCTCACCGTGAATAGGTATTTTGACTCAAATTTGATAACTCACTCGAGATTGTAGTCAAGTGAACTTGAGCAATAGATATTTGCTAAACACCAAATTTAAGAAATAACAAATGTGTACTCAAATCAATTGAATTAATTAATAGAGTTTATTACAATTGCAGTGATTACTAGAATTACTCGTGCCAAGTTTTAGTTATCTACGCGTAAACAATAAGATATACAATTAACAATACCTTCCAATTAACCTATTTAGTTAACCCAAATAACTTGATAGTAGACTAGCCCTGGTTTCAAAAACTCCCAATTCACAAATGAAACTACTTCATCCGATCAATCCAATGAATGACTACTCACACATGACAAAAATGTAAATTGAAAGCGATTGAAAAAAGCATAATTGTAAATTAAAGAAATAAAATACGAATTTAAATTTACAAGAATTGAAATTCCAAGAAACGTAAATACCTTTAATTGAAATTGCAATGAAAGAAAATTGATCATAGAATGTAAACAAATAGTAATTGTTTTGCAAGAATTAAAGACGTGATTTTAAATAAAGCTTGTAAAGTAAAACAATTAAGAAAACTAAAAAGAAGAAGAAAAGCTAAGAACCCTAGGAGAGAGAAAAAGAATAACTGTGAATTAAACGATAGAATGTAAGCTCTCATCTCTCTTGCTAGACTTGGATATTTATAGAAGATCTTGTACTAAAATTTCTATTTTCTGTAAATATTCAGTAGATTTCCTTCCTTAGGAGTCTTAATTACCGAATCTTTAGGCGCTTACCGGTAGGAAGCAATAAATAAACTATCGATAGGAGTGTACACTGATTTCCTCCTACTAGTGCTCTACTCTTTAACTGGTAGGATGACACTTTGTCTTCTATCTACTTATAGAATAGTGCTAACCTAGTGGTATAACTCTTTGGATTGCATTTACCAATAGGAGTGATGACCTATTGGTAGAACCCTTTTTTGGATTCAATTGTATTGGTATAAGACCTATCAGTAGAAATGGTATTTTCCTCAATTATGCTTGCAAAGGTCTTGGTTGCACTCTTGGACCTCTTAGATCATGCCCCAAATCTTCTATGATATTAAAACATGTGAAATTCCATGTTTTTACATCAATTCAACTACAAACACGCAAAAATCACTATTAAATGCAAAGCTCAACTAAATAAAGAAATTAAGCGACAAGCATAATTAAGATGAATGATTATGAGGCCTATAATATGCAATATTGTGCTCTCATTACACCCCTCAACTTAGATTTTGTTAGTCCCTTAGCAAAACAAAATAAACAAATATTAAAACTACCAAATGTTATACTATAAATTCCAAAGCTTACTCAATCACATAACTAATATTATTAAATTGAATTGCATATGCTTAAAGAATAAATGACACACAACTAGAATCACAAGACTTCTTATATATATATATAACAAGATGCGGAAGACAAGATAGAACAAAAATGTAGTAGCCTTTATCTATTAACTCTTGTATTGGCTACTACTACCCAAAATAAAATTCCTAATATACTAACTAAACAACTAAAAAGATGAAGAAAATAAAAAAGATAGAAAGGTAGAAAGGAACAGAAAGAGTGAAAAGCGTGGGTCCATCAGTTAGTTGAAACATCCCCCTCCTCATCATCACTCTTATCCTTTCCCTCCTCCTCAGTAGTGATCTCCACAACCATACTGAGAGGTGTAATAGAAAAAGGAGTGGAACGTGATCCAAGAGTAGGAGTAGAAGTGGGTGTTGTAATCTCTCTTAGAATCGCCTTTCTATGGAAAGCAAACTCGAACAACCTTCTCAGCATCCCTACACACATGTCCACCTTGGACTCAACCTTTTGTTGATCTCTCCTAGTAGCCTTCCCCTCACTCTCTATACCACTAAGTCGTTCCTCCAAGTTGCTCATTCTATTATTCACAGTGGCACGAGAGTTCGAGGCAGTCTTTGTCATAGGTTCAGTCAAAGTGGAAAGAACGGTTGTACTCTTACATTTTGAACCACTAGCTCTCGATATAATCGATCTCTTCCTCTACCCCACACTTCCTATGGGACCAAACTCAGAAGGACTCATAATATCGGATGCCAATCTCTTCACTCTAGCTTTCTGACAAAGCTTGGTGCTCGTAGCGCAGTAGTCTCTCAACATGCACTAAATCATCAAGGCAATGTTGATCCTTGATCCTAACATAAAATCATAGCATAGTACAATCTTCTACATCCCCAGTTGTTTCCCCGAACTCTTGGGGTAGATATTATGGTGGAGAATCTTATTTAGCAACCTATAATCCCCATCCAAGTGTCTATGCATAAATGTGCCCTTGAAGTTCTCAGGATTATCATACATCATTGCAACATACTCAGAGGCATCCTTGTAAAATTCGGTAAATTTAAACTTTTTACAATAAGGACAAAACGGTAATTTGTTGCTACAGTATGGGTTGTAAAATTAAATTTTTCTAGATCTCAGATGATGAAACGGACCTCACATTTGGATTCTTCTTGCGAAATCTAGTTATCCTATCAAATTTTATCAAATTCTGAGATAGTCAAAATTTTTACATTTTACGAGGCGGTCGAGTCTCGGGTGACCCAAAAATGAGATTTTGATAAAATTTCAAAAATTGAAAAATAATTAAATGTAATTTAAAATAAAAATATTATAAACTTGAACCAGGATGAAAATTAATCGTTTCGGGGTAGAACGGACTCGGAAAAAAGAGGGTCATGTGGCAGATTATGGGCCAAGTATTAAGAAGTATAAATAGGGGAGAAAATCAGATTTTTTTCCTATTCTCTTGTCCAGCTATTTGCTGATAAAGAAGAGAGAAAAATAGAGAAAGTTATCCACCTTCTCTCTATGATCTACGACTCCACGGTGCTCGGATCCACTCGGGCCAAGAAGGAAAGTTATTCTCCTCAACGTGAGCTACAAAACATAGCGAGGAGGTCAGTTTTGGATGAGATTCCAAGGACTATATTTTTGGGAGGAGAAGATTCTAGCTTGAATCGGGTTCTTGGAGCTTCCCAACGTGTTCTTTACGCTTCAAGAGGTAGGGTTCCTTCCAACTTGGGTGTATTTTACAACCTTTGGTGTTATATGTGATGGGTGGGGTGGTATAGTTATATATCATTTGCCTATTGTAGTTGAGATTGGCAAAATGGGTGTTGGAAACGAGTAGAGTAAATGCTATCTCGAATTGGGTAGAGAAATGTTTTAAATTAAATTCCTAGCTTGGAATGAAATTGTGGAATTCACTTGGGTATTTCCATGGACTTTGGTGTTATGTGTTTATATTATGTTTTAGTGAAAGAAGTATGTTATTGGTATGTGTTACGTAATAGCATGCTTGGGAATTGTTGTTGAGTATGGATGGAATGATATGTTGTTAACATGTTATCATCATGATGATTGTGGTAATTATACGCTTTGGATATAAATTATCATAAGAAATGTTGATATGTGTTTATTGATGTATTAACATGGCGACGAAAATTGGAAAATTACATGCTTATGATATGATTGGCCATTAAATGTAGAAATAATTGTTAATCTAGCTC